GCTGCAGTCGATCTTCGAGAAGTGCCCAACCAAAGACCTGACCATTCTGATGGGAGATCTCAATGCCAAGGTTGGAAAGGACAACACTGGATACGAAGACGTCATGGGACAACATGGACTGGGAGAAAGGAACGAAAATAGTGAGAGATTTGCAAACCTATGTTCCTTCAATAAACTGGTCATAGGTGGCACCATATTCCCACACAAAAACATACACAAAGCCACTTGGATTTCACCTGATCACACTACACAGAATCAAATCGACCATATCTGCATCAACAAAAAGTTCAGGAGGACGATGCAGGATGTGAGAACCAGAAGAGGAGCTGATATAGCATCCGATCGTCATTTGCTGGTCGCCAAGATGGAACTAAAACTCAAGAAGCACTGGACAATGGCGCGGACAACATCACAAAAGTTTAACACGGCCTTTCTTCGAGATGCTGACAAACTCAACGAATTTAACATAGCCCTCAGCAACAGGTTCGAGGCCTTTCATGACCTACTCAATGGAGAAGGAACTACCATAGAGAGCAACTGGAAAGGTATCAAGGAGGCAATCGTTTCAACATGTCAGGAGGTTCTGGGCCAAAAGAAGCACCATCACAAGGAATGAATCACTGTTGGTACACTGGATAAAATTGAAGAAAGAAGGAACAAGAGGGCAGCAATCAATATCAGCCGAACAAGAGCAGAAAAAGCCAAAGCACAAGCCGAATACACAGAGGCAAACAAGCAAGTGAAGAGGAGCATCAGAACCGACAAAAGTAAATATGTGGAAGATTTAGCGATGACAGCGGAAAAGGCTGCAAGAGAGGGAAACATGAGACAACTGTATGATACAACAAAGAAACTTGCTGGAAATTACCGTAAACCAGAACGACCAGTGAAAAACAAGGAAGGCAAAGTAATCACCGACATTGAAGAACAACGAAACAGGTGGGTAGAACACTTCAAAGAACTCTTGAATCGACCAGCTCCACTGAACACACCCAACATCGAAGCAGCACCCACAGACCTCCCAATCGATATTGGCCCACCAACAATTGAAGAGATCAGCATGGCCATTAGACAAATCAAGAGTGGCAAAGCAGCGGGACCAGACAACATCCCTGCAGAGGCACTGAAAGCAAATGTAACAGCAACTGCCAAGATACTACACATCCTCTTCAGTAAGATTTGGGACGAAGAACAAGTTCCAACAGACTGGAAAAAAGGACTTCTGGTCAAAATACCAAAGAAAGGCGATCTTAGCAAGTGCGACAACTACAGGGGCATCACTCTCCTCTCAATACCAGGGAAAGTCTTGAACAGGGTATTGTTAAACAGGATGAAGGATTCCGTGGACGCCCAACTTCGAGATCAACAAGCTGGATTTCGTAAGGATAGATCGTGCACAGATCAAATCGCAACTCTACGTATCATTGTGGAACAATCAATCGAATGGAATTCATCACCTTACATCAACTTCATCGACTACGAGAAGGCATTTGATAGCGTGGACAGGACGACACTATGGAGGCTTCTTCGACACTACGGCGTGCCTGAGAAAATAGTCAATATCATACGGAACTCTTATGATGGACTAAACTGCCAAATCGTCCACGGAGGACAACTCACCGAGTCGTTTAAAGTAAAGACTGGTGTTAGGCAAGGTTGCTTACTCTCACCGTTTCTCTTTCTCCTGGTGATCGACTGGATCATGAAGACGTCAACATCTGGAGGAAATCACGGGATACAGTGGACAGGAAGGATGCAGCTGGACGATCTAGACTTCGCGGATGATCTGGCTCTTCTATCACGAACGCAACAACGAATGCAGGAGAAAACGACCAGTGTAGCAGCAGCCTCAGCAGCAGTAGGTCTCAATATAAACAAAGGGAAAAGCAAGACTCTCCAATACAACACAATATGCACCAATCAAATTACACTTGACGGAGAAGCTTTGGAGGATGTGGAAACCTTTACATATCTGGGCAGCATCATTGATGAACACGGTGGATCTGATGCAGATGTGAGGGTGCGGATCGGCAAAGCAAGAGCAGCATACCTACAACTGAAAAACATCTGGAGCTCAAAACAATTGTCAACCAACACCAAGGTTAGAATTTTCAATACAAATGTCAAGACAGTTCTATTGTATGGGGCGGAGACATGGAGAACTACGAAAGCCATTATCCAGAAGATACGAGTGTTTATTAACAGTTGTCTACGCAAGATACTTCGGATCCGATGGCCAGACACTATCAGCGACAAGTTACTGTGGGAGACAACAAATCAGATTCCAGCAGAGGAAGAAATCAGGAGGAAGCGCTGGAAGTGGATAGGGCACACTTTGAGGAAATCACCCGATTGCGTTACAAGACAAGCCCTCACATGGAATCCTGAAGGTCAAAGGAGAAGAGGAAAACCAAAGAACACATTACGCCGAGAAATAGAGACAGACATGAGAAGAATGAACAAGAACTGGATAGAACTAGAAAAGAAGGCCCAGGACAGAGTGGGTTGGAGAATGCTGGTCGGCGGCCTATGCTCCATTGGGAGTAACAGGCGAAAACCAAAACCAAGTGCATTTTTGTAATAACTCTTTTATGGCATTAATTGGAATTGTAGTAACTGCTTGGTTTTCTCTTAGCTATTGATATATACATTCTACAGTCCCAATGTGTGGGACATTTGTGAAATATGATGTTACATTTCGAAAAATCATCGTTTGTTCCATAGTATTTGGATTTCTGATCTTGTCAATGAACTGAAATATATCATTAACACTATGTTTTAAAAGGTTCTTGTGGAATGGTCTCAGTATGGTTATCAAACACTTAGCTATATTATGATATGAGGAACTATAAATATCTAAAACTGGTCTGGTTGGAATACCCGAGTTGTGTACCTTTGGCAATCTATACTGGTTTAATCATTTTGTATAACCTTAATGAAATTATCTGTTAGTCTGTGAGTTTCTCGAAAGGTTTGGTTAGTTTATTCTCGATTTTATTACTCAGATCTATCTCGTCAATCGGTTGCTGAAATTTCAATTTGTCTTCCAAGATGGTATCCATTTTGTCAATATAGTCATTTTCATTTAACAGAACATCTGATCTTTTGTCATGCTTCATTTCACCTTAATGGCTTCTCTGTCTTTCTTTATAAGAACGCTTTCTTAATCCCATTAATTGATCCTATGTTGGTAAAAACAATCAACAAAATTTGATTTTAAATGTTCTCGGACTTGATTGAAATTCTTAACTAGATCCCACGTCTGAGTTTTCGAACCATATTTGCTGGTTCGAATTTTTAATTTTGATCACTTTGTGGTACAACGCAATCTTAGTCCTTTGTAACCAGTTCATTACTGCCTTATTCCCGATCTAAATTGATAGGTCATACAGCTTCGCACTACTATTTTAGGGAAACTGTTATGTCTGTAAAGAGAGTAGGTTATTGAAATGTATTGAGGCTCGTGTGATTGGATCGTTTATTATGGTTGTATTATCTGTTCTGATTACTGACTTATTCGCTTTAGTTGTCCATAAGATCAGTGACCTGTTTATGCATTAATATATCTGATTTTCCTAACCCAACGACTCAATGATAGTGAGTAGTTACCGGGGGATATTGGTCCATGAGCTTTCTTTCATCAGAAGACGAAGACGGTAAGCAGATTAGTTCTTATTGTAATCTACTCCTTCATGACTCAAAACGTATGCAGTCATACATGACAGCACAGTAACACAAATAGGAAATTACAATGTATGCACAATACTGTCATAAGTGACATAAAATGGAATAAGTAAACAATTCATTGTTAATAAATCTGGAACAGTAAGACATATAACAATGGTTCATGAGTCAAAAGAAGGCTTACAAATTCGTAAAACATAAAAACAGAATAGTTTAAGGGTATAATAATTATACAATAAGAATATGAACAATAATTTCCTGTGGGATAGTCTTAGAAGTTCAACTTTTCTCAAATCCTTTAAGTATGACAGAAATGCGTCCTAGAACTATTCACTAGTGAATAAACGAATATTACTAAGGATGGTTTTGTGGAAATTTAGTATACATTTGATCGTGAACTGCTTTACATATGGAACAACAGAAAAGTGTGACAGAAAATCCCTATTGATACTAGTTAAGGAACAAAGTGATTCTTACCCATAGCTCCATACAACGCTTCACACAGTAAATTTTCTTAGATTTTAAGACAAAATACAAACTACAAAAGTATTTAAATGAATAATTTTTAAAATTACCCAGACTAACTTTTGTCACAAATAAATAAAGAGTTTAATTGTATTTGAAAATTAACAGGAACCTGGGAGAACTGCATAGCTTTTCCACCTCAGTAGTAGACTCAGTGGTAGTGCACACCGAAGGACCCCTCAGCAAGCCAGCCCATAATCTCCATATCTTGCGGTTAAACCTTAGCCATTAGACCACTGAATCGGTATCCAGTGGTATTTATTTCTAACTTTAGTTAATCCATGGTATACTGATAATTCAGTGCTGCTGCTGACTATGTTTTCACTATCATTTGTGCTTATACTCCAGCAGTCCTCAGTTCTAGAACCTCAAAAACCCATTCCGTAGTAAGTCCCTAGCAAACTTGGGATTAAAGTTTAAATGAGGTGATTTTGTGTAGATTATCCTAATTTGTAGGTGGAATTCACCACAAATCGATATCATGTAGAGGTTGTAGGTGCGTACTGTTGCAAAGTCACGTACAAGGTCGAGGCATTTGTTCTGTAACCCCTAGTTTTCAGTGACGACGCAAAACGCCTACAAATTTAAATAAAAATAATAATCTCCAAAAATTCACTTTCATACAGGTAACATTGGAAATAAACCGATAATGAATTCATAATTTTAATGATATATTTATCAGATAAGATGAAGCTAATGTTGTTTTGAAAAACAGCTGTTTAAAATGAATTTATTAGTAGTATAATATATCACAGACTTGTCAAACTTTGTTATACAATCAGTACACTTACTTTATGTCATCCTCAAACGTTGGATGTAGATAAATTTCCAGTTTTTCAATTTTTTTTAACAAGTCATCCAAGTGATACTTAGATGACATAAATATGTATTCCAGACCTTCAGAAAAGCGCATAATCCCTTCTGAACACGCTGCCAATGTTTCAAATAATTGTGTTATTAATTTTCTCATTAATAGAAATGATCGATCGTACACGGTTAACCACTTATCTTTGGACATCTGAAGTTGATCTAGAATAGTCACCATGTTTCTATCACAAAACTGAAAGTATTTGAGATTGATGTATTTTTGGAAAAGAAAGATAGATCACTAAAAGATACATCGAACAAATATAAACTGAGAAATTCCTCTGTCAGATGGCATTTGTAAACACAATAATATAAATGTAAAGTTTGCAAAAATGTTGTTCCAGTAGTTAGAATGATAGTTAAGAACTAATTAAATGAAGTTATTACCGTCCACTAGTCGTGAAGTTTGCGAAGATTACAATTACTTGTTGATGGTTTTCGTCGCGGAGTATCAGCAATAAAATTATTAAAAACCAAGGGATGATAGATGTGTAGTTCGTATTAGCGCGGGACTCTGTAACAGTAGGCACCTAAGACTGTCGAGTCGCCAAGTGAATAAATTACCTCTAGACTACTGAGTTAGAATTCAATAAATTCACATTTACAGCTTCAGTTATTATCACGTGGCAAGATATGAAGGGAAACAAATTTTCTTAGTTTAACAATTGTTTGTAAATATAGGTTCTTTAGATAAAATTTACACTTGCGACTTCACTTTTGCTAGGAGTCGTTTTCTATCAGACACTTTGGTGAATACCCGTTCTGTGCCATTTTAAGATACTTTTAATTAAAAACTGACATCGGTTGAAGAGGGACTAAAAGTCAAAGTGTCAAAAAGCTGTTTATTTGGATTTCAAAACATATATGATTAGATTTGGACTCAGTGTATGAATGGTAATATGTTTGCCGTCAGACTTGTATGTCTTGAAATTGAAAACCACTTCCACGTCATTTATGCTTTCAAATGGTTCTCTAGCTAATGTCAAGTCGTGATGTTAGTTACTTCTGAATATTCATTTTTACAGAAGATATTAAAAATATTCTTCAAGTACATAGTAAACACGTTATCAGAACAAATGCCGCAAGTCTCAATGACCTAAAATATAGCTAAATTTAGTGTGTTTTTAATGGTATGGAATACATCATGACTGGATGTATTACCTGAATATCTGCTTTAGTTTTACTGTTATATGACAAAGAAAAACTGGATCTATTTTGAATGAGAATACTGTTATGGCTGATGTTTTATCCGCTAACTAATTAACCGACTTCAGATTCGGTACTAGTAATCCGAGAATCAGATAATAAAAGTAAAAACATAAAAATGATAGATAAGGGTTTATCTGACCTCATAATTAAAGCAAAACGACACATAAATACACTGCTTTCTGTGTGATTTATTTACAGTCAGAATTTTATAAATTGGAATGAGTTGTATTACACACTACTTGATCAATAACTTAATGAGTGAACACACCTTTACAGTATCGTAAAACTAAGTGTTTATAGCAAACAGATATAACTAATAGATTGTTATTTAATCATCCCTTCTTAAGATGGGATTACAAGTCACAGACAACATGACAAAACCAATCTCGAAAGTTATTCATACTCAAATGAACCAAATACTTGTTGACCATATCAGTAAAAATTCAGAACACTGTAAGTTAGTTCTTAACTTATATTGTATTAATTTTGCGATCAGGAGATTGTTTATCACCGGTTATTTTGTGCAATTTACAGTATTAAGTCTTATTTTACTTTCATCTGATAGATTGTCAAGTAAAGAAGGATGAGTTTTAGCCCCAAAAGTTTTCAAGTTTATCAATATTATTGTTATGTCCTATGCTTCGCCAAATATCACGTGACCGAATCGCCAATTAGAAAACTGGATTATATGACCTCGTTTTGTGCCAAACTAGCGATGAGTTAACCAGTATGAGTAGCTTTGGGTCAACTCTGAGTCCTTATTGGTCCTCTAAAATGGTAGCTTCTCGTCTAACCCAGCCTGTTTAGTCCAGAATACAAATATCAGCTACTAATAAATGAATCATTTATTTGAAACATACTTGGTTTATATACCAGCAAAACAGACCACATCATACCATAAAATAGATCACATTTATACAAGATCAATCAAGAAAGTGTCTGTGACTGTGAGATACAATAACTAATAGATTGAGTATAACTTAAGAATAGTAAATTCTAAAATAGTAGCAGATGGATCAAATGAAAGCTTATAATAATCGGAATACAGATAAATACAATTTGGTTCCCGGATAATTGCACAATAAGAATATATATATATATATGATGACAGTCCATTAATAGTTCTCAAAAGTTACCCGTAGTTTAGTCTTCACTAGGATATAACAATATTTCACTCATATAAATTCAGAATTGGATTATACAGGCCTAATATTCACTGTAATAAAATTTCTCTAAACCATCCAAAGTATCAGTTACTTAAGGATGTCTCGAATATTTATAATTAAGTGAAATAATGGAATAAAATTAACAGACAGACTTAAAAACAAATGAAGGTATATTAGAAAAGTACAAAAATAAACACAAAGTCAGACAAATGTCAACCAAATGAATTGGAACAACAGGTTTAGGTGTCGAGTGTATATTTTGAGTGTGCGATGATGTTAATTTGATATTTTCATATCATTTATCACATACAAGTTTGCCTCGAATTAAGAAGAAATTATAAATCCAGACATTTCGAGAACGTGATTAGTTTTTTATTGATTTAGATGGTAGATATATACAAAATCTGATTAAATAATACGCTTTTGGTCCAAAACTCTCAACAAATTACACAGAGTTTGATTTTGTTTAAAATCCATTTACTATGGTAGTTGAGTACCTTTATCATTATCGATATTCAAGAAACGCAATAAACTTTAACAATTTCCGTAAATTAGTTACATCGTTGAATAAACTTCATATTTTGCATACAAGTTCTTGGACGTTAAGAAACTGAACTTTGAATTGTGCAAACTTGCATTCATAAACTTCAGTTTCTGGTACTTACAATTTTGATGAACTAGATGCTCATCTTGGTGAACATATAATATTGCTTCTTTTTGTTAACATGCTGTATTCACAAAAAATATTATTTACTGAACATTCATGGTTTTATTTTCTATTTCAAGCGCGTTTATTGAAGTTTGTTACAATCCAATTGAATTTAAGAAAATAATTGCAATCAGTAAGTTGTCTGGACATGCTGCTCATTTCATGGGATGAAATTGGTCTCTACCTTGATACTATTGTCACCCGACCGTCGCCGCTACCTTGACGTGGTGGTCGGGCCTGCCTATCGTGATGAAGCAATCGAGCTATGATGGCTGGAAAAATCGTTCCTCGAGGTCCTACCATGCCAGACAAGTCGGTTGAAGAGCTGTAAGACTAAAAGCAGCAATTCCAAGGTCCGAAGGCGAAGTCATACTGCTGACTGTGCAGAGGTGTGACGGCAGTAAGGTGTTTCCTTCAGACAACCAGCATGACAGCGATGCTGCCTTCCCACAAGGAGTGGTGAGGTTAGAAAAGGTCGACCCTAAAAATGCACACCTCGCCTTATCCCACGGATTTCCGTCTCCGGCGGTAAGGTCCTTTGAAGAACGGAGCTAACACGTCATAAGCCCCCCACAAAAAGGCCGTGCGTGACCGACCTCAAGCAGTTGCCCCTTGGGCACTGCGGTCACGCTCCCAGGTCGTTAAGACCGACACTAATCCAACTTCTTTTTCAGGTCCCTCAAGAAATACCCTTCCACGGTGTGGGCAGCCGGGAAGTGATATTAGCCCTCATACCCGTAACTGCACACCAGACCAAGTTGGTCACTTTCAAACTGACCATTGTCACTGGGAACCAGAAATATAAGCATCAAAACTTCCAACTCATTTGTGATCCTCTCATCGGAATTTTACTTGCCGCTGATTATTTACAATTCTTATATATCAAGATACATATCCATTTATTTTTTAAATCAAGTAACTTTGAAGACAAATATCAAGTAAATGTACAGCGAAAAAACTGCTTTCCATAAAATGCTGTACTTTGAGGATGTTTAGATACCGATGATTGCAGTACACTTCGTCTTTGAAGGGAACTGTGTTGGATAAATCTGGTAATTATCTTGGACTTAATAATTTTAATTCTTAACCTTACAATTGCTTATATTATTTAACTCACTACGACGTTACTCAAATAATACAATCACTTTGTCGTTGAAACGACTTATTGTCTTTCCGAGTGTGATTTTGTTTAGGTTTAGGTTGGCTACTTTATACTTTTGTAAACTCTGTATCAAGCTTTAACTAACATACTTATTGTCAACTTGAAGCTGAATTTTAGTTATCCATAAGTCAAAAGTGCTTGATGACTGGAAAAATTTTGACTGAAATTATTTTGGTGACTTAAATATCCAGTACAGTATATTGTATTTTGAATGAAGGGGTCATTGAGTAGAGCTATAAGACATAAGTTACCGTATAAAAATGGGAAAACAGTCCATGAGTTCTAATTAATTCGAGAGGTCAAGACATTTGCTAAGCTTGGTTGGTTATCCACTACATGTGTTGATGTGGAATACTGACAACTGATGTTTTGACTTTCTCTGAATCTTGAACTTCTTACAATTTTATTATTTCATTCAGCGCTATTGAACTATGTTCCTGGATTAGTTTTCTAGTGCTATAGTGATATTAAGGTTGAAAAAGCAATTAAATTACCAGCTTAACTAAGTTGAGGGCCATACCAAAGCAATGACAGTTTTCTTCTGCAAGTACTCTTTGGTCACTCTCAGTTCTTTGAAGCTGAAGTTTATATAAATTATGAACGCTGAACATTTCTTCTTCACTTGCCTTTGCAGATGTAATAGCTTTCATAATCTGCAAAAATCACACAAATATAACAGATAAACATAGCTTTACCTCTAAATTTTGATTTTTTATAGATGATTGAAGTTTTTCATTGCTAAAACTCGCGTCAGTAAGACACCTTGGGAAAAAAATTTTTTAATCAAAAATAGTACTTTAAGCAGTCCTCTAATTTCTTTTTGTTACGCAGGCCATCTACGTCAATCGTGCAGAGATCTTTTCTTCCAGAGATCATGGTTGAATACAGACTAAATCTACTAAGAAATTATATGCCTCTTACTTCTCACAAACATCAAGTAAGTTATTGGAAATACTGTCATACCTATCAGACAAGCTAAGAAGCAATGCCCTGTGATTATATTTTTCAGGGTGTATCTATATGAATTGAGATTTATCCTAACAGACAAACCTGGCATATTACTTCTCTGAAAATGTCCTGAATACCCGTTAATGCCATATGACTGACTTCCTTAAATCTCTGAAGTTGATCTGCATTTTCAATAGGTGAACGTTCTCCTATATGCGTTTTCCGAACTATGTTATCGAGTTTTTCAGACAAATATACAACATAGTTCCTAATGCTAATAGCATTGGATTACAAAACCGTAGCAAACATACTTAGTGTAAAACGTTTGTTCAGAAGCAATAATCCTCCTGAGAAAATATCACAAGAGCATAAAACTTGCCTCAGTGAAGTCTCAGATTTCAATGCAGTTTCAGATGATCGTTCAGTTTTAGTCCATGTCACGTTTTTGAGCCGTGGAATTTTTTCAGCTGGAATGCTGTTCACAGACTTCACATTTGCTTTGGGATTTATGATGTGCCCTATAGACTCAATGAGACTATACTTAATTATTCCCAAAACTAACTTTCGCTTCCCTGAGGAAACTGTCTCAATATGTCGTCTGGAACAAAATCCATATTTAAAAATGCGTTTAACCAGTTACTACGTCTGCAAGGTCAAAATAACATCTATTATCCAATATTTTTTTAGGGAGCTCAAATATGCCTATTGATTCGCTCTCATCCAGGTCCTGGTGTTAAGGGATTTATTCAAGACTTCAGTGGTACACATGGATATTAACGGAACAAAAGCTTTTGCATTACGAGCTACTGTTTTTAATATTAATGAGTTCCTAATGCTCTCATGCCGCTAGCCTGTATACAGTTTTTGTCTTACGTGCATTATTATTACATCGCATACACCTGAATGCTTGAATATACACTACCTTGAGGAACAAAGAAAAATACACTTCCTACTTGTTTTTAGCAGCACTCTTTATAGCAAGTTAAACTATCTGCTTCTAGTTTCGATCTCAAGATTGTCTTAATCTGATGCTTATGTTGTCGCTGATTGTTGTCCACTGATTTCATCATTGAATGTAAAATGATTGTGTATGTTTGTTGGGTCACCTACTCACTTCTTTCGTTCTCTTTTCAACCCCTCCTCATGCTAATCTCCATACTATCTCAGTGCGCGGAATACCTTCTGCCTGGACGCGAACCGCTCCACTCATGTGATAAATTAAAAAAACTACGTCAATTACTTGAAGCTTTTATCACCAGGTTTACCTTTCCTGACGCTTGAGCCAGTGCTATTTCTGTCGACTGATTTCGTTACTAAGTCCACTTACTGGGCTTACAGTGTCATCTGCTCGATGTTCCCTTGTTTTTAGCACTCACAGATTATCCGATGTGGGTTGCTCTTTGCGCTTTCTCAGGACAGAACTCACCTTTAGGCTAGATGGAGACCTACTAGAGACTTTATATTACACTTTGTGTGCATCCTTTTATTTCATTAGTCTTCGCTCACCTTGAACTATCGTAGATGACTTCTGATTTTCGTACCGATTGATGAAGGATGAGACATCCATGTTAGGACAATTAATTTTGAGGGTTCCTAAGGAAACTGAAGTCATTTTACTTTGATACACTGTACGCGAGTGTCTGGAATAGACTGCCAATTAACATCTGATCGGATCAATCTCTTACCTAATTCAAATCTTCCCTGAACATGAACAAATGGAATTGTAGCGATATTGGTCCTAACCACACAATCCTCAGGGCTAAACGTAAGATAACTGGGAAAATGTATAATCAACAATTAACACGAAGAGGTCAAGAATGGGGAAGGCGGGAAGAATTTATTGAACCTCATGAGATGGCATGCTTCAGCCTTGCAGACATGGTCATTCTGTATAACTTGCCTGTACTCACATTAATAATATCATTCTGTCTTTAGCTTAAGTGTGTTATTTAGAATCTCAAGACATAATATTATTAATTGTTCCTATACGACGCTTTAGTGTGGACAGTGATCTGACATACACTTGCAATCTTTTAGGTTGCGCGGTTACACCATGACATATCTACAATTTTAGACGTAGGTTTATTATTATAATAGTACCAATAACGAGGCGGGCCGTCATCCCACAAGATGATAGAAGAGATACTATCCCAGAATTCTGGGGAGACTGTGATACTTCATCATTGGTGGAGGACAGTTATGAAGAAGCTCATGCATTTGAAACTACCTCAGCGATATATAGATTCTTTAACATTTGGCTCCACACACATACTCACGAAACTAACTACTAAAGAACTCGGTGTTTTTGGTCAGAAAAATGTGCTTGATATATGGTAATCCATGAGATCTGATGGAACGCATTCTGGATTACCAAGGGAAGTAGCAAATTTTATCGCGGATCCGTTAAACATATGTTTTAATCTATCTGTAATCGAACGTATATTACCTAAAAACTATATAGGGCCAGTGAAATGTCACTGCATCCTGTCCAAATTTTTCTGAGGTCGGGTCACCAAATGTCAAACAGTTCACCGATCCCCGTCAAGTTCAAGGACAACCAACGCGCATTAATTGATCATACTCCATGGACTGGCCCATGCATTGGTGGTCGCAATCTCTTCACTGTACCTACCCCAACTAATCTATTTCTGTAATAACGTCGGTTGCTTATACGGTCTTCAAAGCATCCATAGTGCCATGATACTAGTAAAGGCTTATCCATGTTAGGCGCTGACCGCGAGGTATGACTTCAAAGTTAGCTGGTTGGCTATGTAGCTATGAATAAGTCCCCGAATTCAATAGCTCTTTAAGTGTTGGACTTTGGATACTGACCACAGTAGTTTTGATGGACTCATCTACCTGAAGGCGCTCGGTCATTTATCCACACCAGATCACGAGCGGGAACGCCGTGCTCAACTTTTTCTGCGATCACTAGACAGTTTAGATCGGTCACTCTTCGATATATTGATAATCTATCAAATATATCTTCCAACCTCCTCGCTCCTGACTTTTGATTTCATTGGGTGGGCACGATTCAAACAGGTGTTGCTAGTAAAGTGTTGTCAAAATACAATACCTGTGATATCCTGCGCAGTCACACCATTCCTGTCTAACTCGAGTACATCACTGACCGTTCGACTCAGATCATCTGAGTCAGTGATAAACAGCCGGTAGAAAGTCTTAGTAAGTCCTGTCTTCAAAACAAACACTAGAGACAAACATGGGAACTATCGACATGTAAGCTCAATCAGCGTCGTTGGTAAAATTCCGAAAAGTTGTTCTAAAGAGACATAAAGTTGTTCAGCATCTAGACAAAAACCTGATTTTTGCTGAAAGGCAGCTTGGCTTTAGGACAGATTATTCAAGTCTCACAAACTTATAAATAAACTGTGAAATTTTAGTGGGCCCCTCAAAATAAAACGTTACTTATATAACGATAATATATTTCTGCAATAGCAGGTACACGCCATTTTTACAGGAATGATCTACAATTTACAACATATACTGGTTCACAGTATGCATCCCAAGCAGGGTTGTTTAGTAATTATAATCTGTAAAAGTTGATAGCAGTTCATTCGTTCAGATATAATGTGATTTCATAAGAATAGCTTCCAAAGGGACATCGCGTTTACGTTACATACCAGATCTAATCTCGACGAAAAGTGTATTAGGGTTTCGGTCGTGTTAAGTATTTATGTAATGCAGCTCTTTAAGTTTATAGTTGTTATAAAGTAGGCTTGTGGAACGCCTGGTTCGAGCTGTGACCTTGGGAAAGCACGTTCGTCGAGCTAGTTCCAGATGTCAGAAGTTACATAGCTTCACCCTCAGAGCAAGATTCTGAAGAGAAAAAAAAGAAAAAGAAACCGAGGAGCAGCAAGGCATTTGGATATGAACGATAACCAATGCTTAACATTTATTAGTGGAACAGATGGAGGTGTGATAAATTATTAGATCAAATTGATACTTGCTCATGTTGCAAGAGTGAGCTGCGATTAGGGGCTCCAGAGGAGAGAATGCAGTAATAAAGAACAATGAGTTGTGATATTTATCAAGGTGGAGTAGGTTCCAATGAAGGAAGGAAGTCAGGGTTGGAATGAGGAAGAACAGAGAGTGCATATATAGAGTAGAGTGTTGAGTAAAATAACAAACATGTCCTTTACAGTCAGTTTTTTTTCATCATCCGATGATGACATGTTAAAACTCAGCACCATCTTAACGTTGACGGTAATTGACTCCCTCAGTTAACTGTGGTCTCCAAGCGCAGGGCTTTTGAATGAAAAAGTGGTTCCCCAAAACTCTGTAGGTGGTTGAACCCATGACAACAGGGTTAAAAGGGACCAGGCGTCACCGCCTAAGCTGAAAATCCCAAGCATTGCACGGAAATCAGTTGGTGACTTGGTCGCACAGTCTACCCCCAAGACTGTCTGCCCGGTCATCAACGAGCCTTGGAATCGAAAATTCGCTTCGACCTCCAAACAACAAGGTACCGAACCTGGACGCACTGGAAAACCTGGTAAATCAATAACGGTTCGTGACGACTCTCTCATAATCATGAATCTTGAAGACAACCCTGACCTTCCCCTCAGCTTGCAGGAAGAAAATTACAGGATGCTCTGAGGAGAATTAAACGAGTAGTTTGAACTTCCTAGAGTAGAGCATTTGACGGTCACATGGCTCACTCGTGGAAGAGACTCTAGGCATCAAAACCACCCAAGGCTAGTTTGTGTAACATTCGAGAATGCTATCGACGCACAGGATGTCCTGCTAGCCAGTCACTCACTGAAATCCGATGGGAACGTAAGAATACTGTCTGATATACCGTGTTTTGAGCTCGATCTCATCCGAAACATCCATGAGGAATCTCGCAAGAAGTTCTTCCGCGGAAGAAATATTATTGTGCAAGGTGTACCGGAAACCACGGACCCTGGTAACACAAACACTTATATTAGGAAATGGAAATTCATTAATCGATCTTTGAAGCTCAATAACATGCTGACTTAACATGTGACGAGACTAGACTAAAAGGACGAAGATTCTAGACCCCGGCTAATGAAGATAACTTTCCCATCCTCCCATATGGCTGCTGCAACTGTGGAAGCATTTTCTGCCAACAGACGTCGGTTGCCAACCGGAATACACATGCATCCGGAAAGGCCACGTGACGCCAGGATCCAGCACAAAGGCAAGTTCGAGCTGATAATTCAACTGGTGGACTGCCTTGACCATCAAAATAAACGTGTAAAGGATAGGGGCTACCAACCCGGAAAACTTTATATAGGTAGGCTACCTGTCCACCAACGTAAGGCTCATATAGATAGACAGGAAGAAGCTCATGCGTTTGAAGTTGAATGCATAAACTGCTTATACATGAACGCCGCGAGTTTATCAAATAAAATGGGTGAGCTACGTGAACTTAGCAATGCTAATAATTCTCATCTGATAGGAATATCTGAAACTTGGATATCTTCTCAGTTTACGGACCAGGATCTAGCAACACCTGGGACGTCTTTGTTTCGTAACGACAGAAAAACGGGAATTGAGAATGGAGTAGCATTATACATACGATCATGCCTGGAGATGCACCAACTTCACAACCAAGAGTTTCTCAATCTTGATAAATCGGTATGGTGCTCAGTAAGATTGTCTACCACCTTAAAGTGTCTAGCCGGGGTCATCTACAGGAATCCCACTGCTGACACCGAGTAAGACAATCGTTTACTGGAAGAATTAACTCGTCTCCGGTTCTCTCATATCCTGATTCTAGGGGACTTCAATCTTCCTAGAATCAACTTCGTGGAACATACCTACATTGGAGGTGACAACTCTACTGAAGCTCGGTTCTTCAACCTCATTGATGATCTGGGATTATTCCAAAATGTGAAGTCGGCAACTCGTTGGAGAAACAT